TAATTAATAATATTTTTAAGATATTTTAATTGAAGAAATACAATTGAGTTTATAAATTATTATAAAATATAATTCTAAGTACATACTATATTATATTTACAGATAATTTAAAATTAATTAACTTTAACAAGAGGAAAATTTATACAAAATCATATCATTTTTTTTTATAGATGTTAAAGTGTACTAGTAAGATTTTACTTAAGTTTTTACTTTGTTATTATTTGTTTTGAAATTCGAAATTTTCTTTTCTTATGATCTTTAGAGATACTATTATTGTGATAATAATATATCAAGACAAAAATATATATTATATATCTATTTTTAAAATTTAAAAATAATAATTTTAAAAATTTTAAAAATATTTAATAATAATTTTTCGCTTTTTTAAACTATTTTTAATTATTACGTTGTCATCAATTTTTTTTTTATAATATTAATTAGAATAAATTAGAATAGAATATTTTCATACATAGTATGAGAATTATTATTATATTATATTATATTATTAGAATTATTAATTATATATTATAAGAATCATAAAGAAATGATTCATCATAAGGAATAAAATATTTAAAATATGTTTTTGTAAATAAAATAATGAATATAATAAAATAATAAATAGAACGATATTCAAATATTAATATTAATAAATTATATTAATCTAGAATTCTCTTAGGGATATATTAATTTCATACATATATAATAATAATAATAATATGCAATAATATGCATATATGCAATAATTTTTTTTTTGAGAATTTCACTTAAAAGATATGAAGTCAATAAAAATTCAATAATTATTCATTTTTTCATTTCAATTTTTTATTTTTTTAAATATAATTTTGTAATAATAGAAGAACAAAATTTTAAATTATAAAATGTTTAATATTCTATCATTTTATTATATAAAATATCTTTAGAAGTAATGGCATCAAAAATTGAAAAAAATATTTTTGTAAATAAATTTTATATCATGATATAATATTATTATTATATTAATCTATCAAAAAAATTACTCCATATAAAAAATAATCTAATATGATTTAAATATAAATAAATTTTTTAATAAGATCAGAACTTTTGGATAAATTCCTTTATACGAGACTATTTTTTTTTATACGAATATTTCTGAGTTCATATATAGATTATAATAATAATAATAACTATATGATTTTGTACAAGTTTTTTCTAAAAAATTATTCCTTTTAATTAATATTTAATATTATATTTAATATAAAAAATTTAAAAATAATAAAACTGTAAGCTATTGGTGATAAGTTTTAATATAATTTACCTTCTATTGAAATTGTATATTGTATTGTATTAGATGCAGATAATGATTTTGTTAACCAAGGACATGTTACTATGTATTCCAGTAAAACACTGGATTTCCATAATAATACAAAACAAATTTCAAGTATTTCATCTCTCACATTAGCACGTTTTATCAAATATCCTTCTCGAAGTCGACAACATAATAGACTGCTTAATGTACAAGTAACTTTATCTTCAATTTGTTTTTTTTGTAAAAGTTGTGTTGATTTTTGTTCATAAAATAATAAATTTGTAGAATGCCAATTTGAATAATCTGGTACAATAAGATTACAACAATCTTTACGATATAATTGCCAACATAAGAAGTTTTTATGATAAATATTCATTTCTGTTCCATTCATATGTACCTATAAAAATAAATTTACTTATAAAGTATACATTTGTATTTAATCTTAATTGTTTACTGTAGAAAAAGCACAAACATAAACTTACATATGCATGTACATGTAATATTATTATTTAAAAAAATTTTAAGTTTATTATAAAATCATAATAAAATATGCATATTATTTCTTTCATATTATATAAATTTTATAAATATACTGAAATTTTCAATTTAAAAAATAAAAAATCAAATTATTTGTTATTAAAACTTAATGAATTTAAAAAAATTATTATATTATATTAAAGTTTAAAGAAATAAAAAAGTAATAAAATAATAATGAATAAATGTGTAATATGATTTAAATAGTAGAATATATTGCAATAAAATATCAATTTGATTATTTTGAGAATTTGATTATCAAAATAACGATTATTTCAATATAATATGAATCACATACATTTATTAATTGTACAAAACTTGAAAACAATAAAGAATTTTACATAAAAATATCAAAGATCATCATGTATTAAACTTATTATAAAAACCATTACTTATTAAATGTTAAAAATAATATATTAAAAATATATTGAAAAATATATTGAAAATATATATAAATGTATATAAAAAATATATATAAAAACCGAAAAAATCTTAAATAAATATAAATTCAAATCAAATTTTTGTTTCAAAAAATGATTATTTTTATTATTATCAAAGATATTTTAAATATTCTATCTAAATATTCTATTTAATTTTTTTGTTAAATTATCAATGAACATTTATTATAAATTTACAAGTTACTTTCATAATATTTACAAAAGATTTTTTTATTTATATAAATATGACTATTTTAAAATTTTTGAATGTATTTAAATTAACTATTTAACAATATTTACAATAATTATATTAATTATATCTTCTGGTATAATATTAAAAAATAATTAATATATTTAAAATATAAAATTTTTTATATAAATTTTTTCCGTAGATTAAAATATATTTATTTATTTAAAATTATCTATATTTGAAAATTATTTATTTTGTTGTCTCATATATATTCTCAAATTTGATTTTTTTTAATTGATTATTCAAAAAATCTTTTTTTCGAATAAATTTATTTTCCAATAAGTTCAAATAATCGATATTCTATTATATAAGATAAGTTATAGATAATAGATAAGATACTGTAAATTGCTATCAACAAAAGAAAAAGAAAAATAAATTATTAAAAATTTTACTAAGAATAAAATGGAGATAAAATAAAAGAATAAATAAATGGAAAAAAATATCAAATATGTATTAAATAACATAAGAAAAAACAAACATAGAATATAGAAATGAAAAAAATTTTTAAAAGAAAACTATAACAAATAAAAAGATTTACATGCAGTTCGCAGTAAATTTTGGAAGAAAAAGAAAAGAAAATAGAACAAATAATAAAAATAGATTAGAAATGATTGAAAATAAAGTGAAGAAATAATAAAAATGTTATATTTGATATTTGAATTAATCAATATAGTTAAACATAAAAATAATTAAAAAAAATAAATGAATAAATGACTAATACATTGTAAAAATTATAAGTTGAAAGTTTTTTAGACATTAACATTGAAATTTATTAAATAAGAAAAATTTATTTAATTAGTAATAAATAATATTTTTAATTATTTAAATATATATAAATATAATATTTAATTATTACGTACAGAATACGGAATAAAAGACATATAAGTACCCAAAGTAGCTTTTGCAATGAAATGTAATAAATCTTGATATGGGATTAAGCCATCAGCACAATGTGGATGATATGTACTTCCAACATGTAGAAAACTGCATGCGATTGTTGTTGCACGTAATTGTTGTATAACAGAATCTAAGACATGAACATCAGTATTTCCAACAATACCATCTGTTACAATTATCATATCTAAAAAATAAAAAATAAATAATGCATTAATTCTTTTGAATAATGAATTACTTTGTTATATATTAGAGAATTTATAATTTTATTATATGTATATTGAATTTAATTTTTAATTATATTGGATTTATTTTTGATATTATTAAAAAATAAATTTTTTGCAA